GTTTTTTCTCCCACCCTGGACATTATTCCACAGAGGGCGCCTCCAGGCTATACAGGCCAGGGGGGGGGCTGAGGTTTTTTTCAGGGGGGGTTTCGGGGGGGGTGGGGAGCTGAGTCTGAGTGAAAGAGGGTCTACCCTAGCAAACCTTTTGTATCATTACCCCAATACCCCCATGCATATGGGATATATTGAGTATGGTGATCAGATCATGATATGAATAAACGTAAGTTTAAATAATGCACCAGTAAGGCCTTTTCGCGAACCACCATGAGAATTTCGGGGGGGGGGGGGCTGAAGCCCCTCAAGCCCCCCCCCCCCCCCCCCCGGCTACATGCCTGATTCCACAGATATATAAACCCACTTCCTAGTTTCCAACCGACCTCACAACCTCTGAGGATGCCTGCCATAGACATGGGCGAAACGTCGGGAGAGACTGCTTCTGGATCATAGCCACACAGCCCGGAAAACTCACAGCCACCCACTTCTGCTAATTCTAAGTTTGGCTGAGCGTTGAGCTCGAATGGCAAAAATAGGTTTGTAGAACGCTATGGCTTTCATGCTTGTTGCATAGATTGCACACTTGTGGCATTTGCAACTTTGAGCACAAAAGAATGCAGTGAGGCCTTTTGGCAACTTTGTGCAGTTAGAAGGCTTCTTAACAATGGAAGTGCCAATGGGTGGTTGAAGTTGCATGCTAGTGATATACCTGGCAATACAGCAGAATTATATCTTTACAACACCAGCATCAATCTAGTATATGAGTTGCAACCTGTATCTTATTTTGCTCCTTTACAGGACTTCAAGTACAGGATCTTGTAAAACACTGACCAGTTACCAGAAGGATAATGAACCAGAGGGAGAAAACTTTGTCGAAGATGAAACCTGTATTAATGCAGCTTATAATCCAGAGCAGGTGAGGGCATATCATCAAGCCCTTGTTGTTATCTTCCATCTCCAAGTGTGTATACTTTGAAAGCCTTAAGATCTTGCATACATATTATTACTTCCTACTTAAATATGGACTACAGCTTAGTCTATTAACCAGCACAGCCAATGATGAGGAATGCTAGGCATTGCAGTCTAATTGCAGTTGGAGGACTGCATTTTGCAAAACTCTGTAATTAAAAGTATTTCATAGAATCATAAAATCCTTGAGTTGGAAGAGACCTCGTGGGCCATCCAGTCCAACCCCCTGCCAAGAAGCAGGAAAATCACATTCAAATATCCCTGACAGATGGCCATCCAGCCCGTTTGAAAGCTTCCAAAGAAGGAGCCTCCACCGCACCCCGGGCCAGAGAGTTCCACTGCTGAACAGCTCTCCTGACAGTTAGGAAGTTCTTCCTAATGTTCAAGTGGAATCTCCTTTCCTGTAGTTTGAAGCCATTGTTCCGCATCCTAGTCTCCAGGGCAGCAGAAAACAAGCTTTCTCCCTTCTCCCTATAACTTCCCCTCACATATTTATACATGGCCCTCATCATGTCTCCTCTCAGCCTTTTCTTCTGAAAATTAAACATGTCCACCTCTTTAAGCCACTCCTCATAGGGCTTGTTCTCCAGACCCTTGATCATTTTAATCACTCCTCTGGACACATTCTAGCTTGTCAGCATCTCCCTTCAATTGCAGTGCCCAAGTTTAAGTCCGCGTGTTCTGATATGAAGAGCTCGCAAAACTACAGTGTTTAGTTGCCTTGAAGATCAGATCCAATGAAATACTAAAAAGTTGGGGGTGGCAAAATTTGTGGGCTGAAACAGGCTATTTTTCGTAGCAAAGTATTCACCTACAAATCTTCATTCACTGAAGAATTTAGCTAGCTAGCCTCTTGATATAGGTTGTTTTCTATTTGCAGTGCAGGGGAAAATAGTGGTCTAGTTAGTGATAACCTTAAACTTTGACCTTGCTCTCCTCCACAGGAACTATCAACTCCTCTGAAGACATACCCAGGCACAGATTTGTAAAATAATTTAATAAATTATTAATTGAATATTTCTTGCTGTTTTTTTTCCCCTAGTGGTGGCAATTTGGTCTAAAGCAGAACTTGGGGAGGGGGTGTCTTCTTCATTTTGGACTTCATAATGCTGTCAACAGCAAACTCATCTAATAGCAGCAGAAAAATAATGGTCACTGTAGCACTTAAAACATCTAAAGCCGATTGAGAGCTGCAATCCTTGAGGATTAAAAAAATAGCTCCACAGGCTATTTCTCTGGGTAGAAAGAATTGGCCTCATGCTTTAATTCTAGGAGAGGGTTGGGAGCCATGCAGTCTACCAGATGTTGAGTGGCAAGTCTCATCAGCCGTAGTCAACCCAGCCAAGAATGATAAACACTCAGTCACCATCCAGAAACATCTGGTTAGCTGCCTAATTGACACTTCTCTTCCATGGCTAGTACATATCAACTTGCAGTGTGTGTGCACATACAAGTCAATTAATGGTGAGCCCATACAGAAATATACAGAAGTGGTATGCCATTGTCTTCATATGACTACCTGGGATTTCAGGTGGTCTCTTATTTATTTATTTATTTATTTATTTATTTATTTATTTATTTATTTACATTATTTATATTCCGCCCTTCTCACCCCGAAGGGGGCTCAGGGTGGATCACAATATACATATACACGGCAAACATTCAATGCCTTTTTTGACATACAAGACATTCAGACAGATAGAGGCCATTCAGCAGTTCTTCCATTTCGGATCCTGGAGGTTGCTCAATTCGGCCCCAGGGGGAGCTGTCGCTTTGTCCACTATGACGTGGAGCCTTTTTGATTGTAGCATTTCCTCCTTGTTCTCCCGCATTTTATGGTGTCAAAAATTAGCCTCCCCGCTTTAAGCGGTTCCTTATTCCTCTACTCACAGCTCACAGCTGTTTTCGAACTGCTTAGGTCAACAGTGAGCTGGGCATTATTTTTAAACCGCTATTGACAGTCGGGTGCTCAACCCCGACTCGGGCTTTGAACTTGCCATCTTTCAGTCGGCAGTAATTTATTGCAGCTGATTAACCAGTTGTGTTACCAGCCTAGCCCTTTGAAGTGCTATAACCAAACTTCACCATGCTTAGCTTCCAAAGAGCAGGTGGGATCTGAAGCCCTATCTCTCCCCTCTCGGCCTCCTCTTCCCCAAGCTAAACATACCCAGTTTCTTAAAACATTCCTCATAGGGCTTGGTTTAATTTTAGTCACTCTTCTCTTAACACATTCCAGCTTGTCATTATCCTTTAATTGTGGTGCCCAGAACCAGTTACAGTATTCCAGATGAGGTCTGACCAAAGCAGAATTGAGTGGGACCACGACTTATCCCTCCTTCCCTGTCCCAGTGAACTTCTGCTCTTGTTTATACGCACACAGGCAGCTGACTGTGCCATTTGGTGTTTGGAACTTTGGAACATTTGTTTTTTAATATATAATTTAATAATAATATCTAACTTTATAATTATTTTTGTTTATAATAAATAATTAAAGATATAGCCCTCAAATGTTATACATATACATATATCCAAATGGTCCTTTACAAATAATAATAATAATAATAATAATAATAATAATAATAATAATACTCCTGACCTCACGATCATTTTAAAAAACAAAGTATGGATTGTCAATGTTGCAATCCCAGGTGACTGCGGGATTGAAGAGAAACAATTGGAAAAGATGACATGATATGAGGATTTAAAGACTGAACTACAAAGGCTCTGGCACAAGCCAGTCAAGGTGGTCCCAGTGGTAATCGGCACACTGGGTGCAGTGCCTAAAGACCTTGGCTTGCACTTAAGCACAGTCGGCGCTGACAAAATTACCATCTGCCAGCTGCAGAAGGCCACCTTACTGGGATCTGCACGCATTATTTGCCGATACATCACACAGCGCTAGACACTTGGGAAGTGTTCGACGTGTGATCCAATACAACAGCCAGCAGAGTGGTCTTGTCTGCTGTGGACTCGTTGTGTTAATAATAATAATAATAATAATAATAATAATAATAATAATAATAATAAAGCTCCCCACAACCCAGGGAAATTCCTAAGGTTTTTTTTTTTTTGACAAGGAATACTCTTGCACATTCCTTTCTCTCATATATAGCCTGCAGCACCTGGGATTTGCTGGTGATCTCTCATGCAAGTACTAATCAGTACTAACCCTATTTAGTAGGGCTGGGCGGTTTCGTTCGTTAATTTCGTAATTCGTTAATAATTCGTTATTTTTCTTGAATACGAAGCGATAACAAACCATCCAGGAGCAACTAAAAAACGAAACGAATTTTTAAAGCTATTTTGTAATTGTTTTGTAATTGTTTCGTTATTATTTCAGCTCCCAGGCTGCAAAGGGGCCCGAGCAGGGGCAAGGAGAAGGGAAGGCAGGCGAGAGAGAGAGACTGAGCGAGCAAGCTCCCTTCCCGGCCTGGCTTCCTCCCCTCGCTCCCCTGGCTCCCCCCGCCCCCTTCTTCCCCCTTTTCCCGGCTCACCTGGGCATGCACACCCCACACATGCCCGGCCCGGCGCAGGGGTGGTCCGGCGTGCCCGCTCGGCGGGGCCCTGGCATCCGCCGCCCTGGGAAAGACCCCCGCCCAGCAGCAGCGGCAAGGCCGACGACGCTGCGGTTGCTGACTCCCCCGATCGCCTCCCCCGCCGGGAAAAGGAAACGCAGGAGGAGGCGCAGCAACGAGACGGAGGCGACCGCCCGGTTGGTAGGGAGGGAGAGGGAGGGAGGGATAGAGAGGGGGCGGACTAAAACTATTATTAAAAACTATTATTATTAAAACTATTATTTAAAACTAATATTTTCATGTTGCGCAACCGCGTCCGCCATTTTAACGAATTGATTCGTTAATAATAACGAAATTTCGTAAATACCGAACTTTTAAAAAGGAAAATTTTGTAATTATTTTAAATATCGAAACAAAAACCCCCCCCAAAAATACAAATCGATTTTAGAAACAAATTTTTGCGTTGTTACCCAGGCCTACTATTTAGCATCCACAATCAGATATGATTTGGTGCTTATGCTGAACTACTTTCAATTTGCTAGCTCCACCATTTGATAAAGAGAACACTTCATATTTTTATTTTAGCAAGTTTAAATGTCTTAATGACATAATAATATTGATTGGGAAATGCTTTAAATAGATACATCAAGAATCTCAGTGATCCAGCTGTTCCAACTTTTATAATCCCATAAACATGGAGAGGGAAGAAATTACCAACGCCTTCCAGCCTAATACAGGAATATCCAACTGAATATCCACAAAATATCCATCCAAACTCTGTTTAAAGACTTCCAGAGAAGAAGAATCCACCATTATCTTCTCAGGCAATTCACTGTCAAACAACTCTTTCAGTCAGTATTTGTTTTTGTTTATAGAAGTAGGAGAATATCATACTTTCAGATGATCCTTCCCGGCTGCTGTTCTGTTCAGGCAGCTCATACCTTGCCTTCCATTTGTAGAAATTTCCCGGTTTAGGGCTACAGATCTGAGTCACAGGGAAGCCTGCTTTGACTCCGACTGCCCACTTCATCTTCCAGTACATCCAGGAAATTGCTGTGGTAGTTAGATGTTGTATTCCAGCTTGAGATGTGCCTGTTTCTGCCATCTATGATGGAGGGGGAGCTAATGGCTGCCACACTTCCTGGGCCCTGCTTGTTGCTTGGTGGGTAACTGGTGTCTTTAGCAGCTTTCTTCAGTTTGTATTCTTTGCAGCACTGGTCAAAGCTCACGGTCAGAGAGAGGCCTCCAATAATTTCCATGCAACTAGCAAGGTACCCTAATACCAGGCAGTAGCCCACCGCCAGTGTGCTGCCTGAGGGGGAAGGCAGATTGTAGAGCTCATGATTGTACCAAGAGATGGCAATAAGGCTCAGCAGTCCAGAAATGAAGAGCAACAGCCCACCCAGTCCACCCAGCAAGTAATGGGGTCGGTGCTGCCAGCAGCGCACTCCCAACGTGGACACCACTAGACCCAGAGCGGTGACCACCAGTGAGGCAGGCATGAGCCCCTTGGCCACTTGCACAGGCAGCTGGGAGAAGTATCCCAAAGTGTCCTTAATGTCATAACAGGTGTTCATGTTGCTGCTCTGGTACTCATTGCAGAACTGCCAGATGCCTTGGTGCTGGATCAGATCCTGTGTCTCCCCAGGGATGAGGCTGACAGTCCTCCAGGTCTGAGCCAGGGTGCTGGTTAGGTTTAGGACAAGCCCACAAGGGCCAAGCACAATGCCCACAATCATGGGTGTTGGGGTCCGCATACTGGTGGGTCCAGGCAAGGGAGACAATGAGCTATAAATATATTGCTGCTGCTCTCAAGAAGCCCCGTCCACCTTTATTTTCCTACCGAAAACAGGAACCTACCATGCAGCTACTATTCCCTATAAGCTGAAGGGAATTTTTGATTGTGTGTGACTGGATGCTAGGATGGCGTGCAAGGCAGGCTTATCTGTTGCCCCATAAACCAAGACCACTGGAGAAGACACCCAATGTTCTGTATCTGAAAAACAAAATGAAAAAAATAGTAATGCCAGAGAATCTGCATTTTGTAAGACCTACCTATCTCCTCCTAGCCATCAAGAAATCCCTAAGCTTCTAGGGATCTTAGAACTATTTATGAACAATACATGTCTTTTAAATATGGCAGGACTTTCTTAGTAGTGGCACCCTGGTAGTGAACCTCCCTTTTTTAAGTTTCCCAAACTCTGCTCCTCCAGATGTTCAGTTCCCAGAAATCCCAGCCAGTTTACCAGCTGTTAGGAATTGTGGGAACTGAAGTCCAAAACATCTGGAAGGGAAACACTGCCTTAGAGAATCAACCAGCCCCCACTCATTTTCTTGAAGGAACCAGCCAGATTTGTTCAGATTCTAATGTTAATAACCACTACATAAGGAGATCGCTATTGCAAGTGTGGAATAAGTATAAGAAAATATTTTATATCAAGAAGTCCTTAGGAGGAGCCTGAAAACGTGGTTTTTAAATGTCATTGTGTTACTTTTAATGTTTGTTTATTTTTTGTTATGAATTTTATTTTATTGTTTGTATTAATTGTTGTTATTGCTTTTATCATTGATGTATTGTGGGCTCAGCTTCATGTTAGCCGCACCGAGTCCCTCGGGAGATGGTAGCGGGGTATAAATAAAGATTATTATTATTATTATTATTATTATTATTATTATTATTATTATTATGCTCTCCACACAAAGAAGGGAAATTGCCCTGAAAAGACTTATAAAGACTTGTTGATACTGGACAACAAACAATTCAGAATAAAGACAAGATAGGAATTTCTGTCTGAAATCTTCCTAATAATCTTAACAGAAGGTATCAGATAGCCCCCCCCCCCCCAAGTAAAGCCAGGCAATATAGTGCTGTCATAAATTTCATCTGATTACCAACTAGAAACTGCACTAGCAGATGTAGTTTTAAAAAATAAACTGTTGATATCCATATTCATAATCCTTGGGTGAGTTTGCAGCATGTTAGCAAGAGGTTCCACAGCCAGAGCAAAGAAAAGAGGTGAAAGAAGGCAACCCAGATAAATCCTCTAGAAACAGAAATAAGTTCCAAAACAACTCCACAATTTTTAATTGCTGCATTGTGTGTAGAGTAGTACTGTAATTTGTAGTAAATTGTTAGTATAAGATTGCTAGGTGTCCTCAGCTCTCAAAAAGAAAGGAGTGATCCAAAAGGGGGTTCTCCACTAAACCACCAAATAAATAAATAGAGGCTTTTGCCCCTAAGACAGAGAAATAGAGAGGAGCCCCAGATGCACTTTCTCTCTTATACTGAAAGCCTCATTGCTCCTTTAGGAGTCTAGGAAGCTTGCTTTTGCAATTGCATCATCTTTGAGACTAAACTTAGACCTGATGGGATGCCTGTCCAATTTTCTTCTTTTTGTAAAAAAAAAATAAAATAAAATTCTGCTTGCCTTCCAGAGCATTAAAAGAAATGAACTTTTGATTCCTGCACACCCCAGTGAGTTCATGCTTTCTTCCAGCCACAGAAAACCAGCAAAAATTACACAGTAGCAGTGCTGCCGTTCTCATTTTACACACTGCCAAAGAAGATCACAACATATTAAAGAGTTTTTGTGTTTCATGACCCATTTCCTTCAGGTTCAGGGGAAGTGAGGTTGCCTTAACAGAAGGTTCCCCGAACCCTGAAACAGATGTGGCTACGGATATTAAAGAGGAGCAAACATTTACCTGTATGTTTCCCTGTTTTTTGGCTGTCCTGCTGTGGACACACTTGCCGTGTCTGTTGCTTTTCCTCCTCTCAGTACCTGGTTGAAATAAGCTGGGTAATTCAACCGAAACCGGTGTGTGTACAGAGAAACTAAACCACTGTTTCAGCTGCCAAACTTGTTCTCGGTACAATTTTATGAGAGAGGGAGGGGAGGGATATGAAAACCGAAGTGGAACAAGGAAGGTTTGCTGTTACAGGTGATGCCAAGTCAGGCTTCAGGAAGGTGGTGTTTGTTCTGGGACTGCTTCATGATCGTAGCAGCCTTTGTATGGCACAGGATGATGGTGAAATGATTATAGTCCTGAGTAAAGGTCAACTTACTGATCAGGAAACAACCCACCAGAGCAATAAAAAATGAACACTCCTTAGAAAGAGTGGCATATACTGCATGGCCAACGCCACACTAAACACATACAGAGAAAAGATGAGGTTGAGTGATTTCTGTTTTTAAACTGCTCTTAATGACCGTTGAGAGAAAATATGCTCTGCAGCAAAATAAACCTTTTGAAAGAACGGAAAAATATTCCACAGATGGAAACTGGGACTCATGTGACTAAGCTATATCACAATATGGGCAAGAAGGTAAACGTTATTAATGGGGAAGAGTGCATAAACTCTGACTGCGTGTTTGCTTTTGCCTGAGCCTTTCTGGGAAGGGCAAGATATGTGTTGGGTGCAAACTATTTTGTTTGTAGCAACTATTTTGTTTGTAGCAACTGAAGCAAGCTGAAGAATAAGGGCAAAAGAGAAATTGACATTGTAAAATGCATCTGAGGAAGTAGATTAAGGATAACAACAACACTTTATTTCTATTCTGCCTTATCTCCCTGAGGGGACTCAGGTCGTATTCCAGCATATACAGGCACAAGGCAAAAAGTAGATTAAAGATAATGATAATAATAATAATATTTAAAGATCATACTGCAAAGACTCTGGCACAAGCCAGTCAAGGTGGTCCCAGTGGTGATCGGCACACTGGGTGCAGTGCCTAAAGACCTTGGCCTGCACTTAAACACAATCAGTGCTGACAAATTTACCATCTGCCAGCTGCAAAAGGCCACCTTACTGGGATCTGCAAGCATTATTTGCCGATACATCACACAGTCCCTTACACTTGGGAAGTGTCCAATGTATGATCCAATACAACAGCCAGCAGAGTGATCTTGTTTGCTGTGGACTCATCTTGTTGTGTTTCTAACAATAACAACAACACTTTATTTGTATTCTGCCCTATTTCCCTGAGGGGACTCAGGTCGGATTCCAGCATATGCAGACACAAGGCAAACATTCAATGCCTCGAAACAATGAAATGCAGATACATAAATAAAGGTAAGGCTTCCCCTTCATCTCCAGCCCTGCGAGATGGTGCCCATCTTCATTTCTAAGTTGAAGAGACAGCATGACCTAGACACCTCCTAGGTCATGTGGCCAGCATGACTTCATGGAGCACCATTTACCTTCCTGCTGAGGCAGTACCTATTGATGTATTCACATTTGCATGTTTCCGAACTGCTAGGTTGGCAGGAGCTGGGGCTAACTGCGGGAGCTCACTCAGTCCTGCAGTTTCAAATCGCCAACCTTCCGGTCAGCAAGTTCAGCAGCTCAGTGGTTTAACTGTTGCACCACTGTGGATGCATCTATACTGCAGAATTAATGCAGTCTGGCACCACTTTAACTGCCATGGAATGGGAGTTGGAATGGGAGTATGGAATAATGGGATTTGTAGTTTGTCAGTCAGTAGCCTTTATTTCAGTCAACAAACCATGTGACATCACTAGCCCTCTTTGGCAGAGAAGGCTAGAAACCACAAAAACCACAAAAAACTACACCTCCCAGGATTCTATAGCATAGAGCCATAACAGATAAAGTAGGGTCTAATTCCATTAATTCTGCACTGAGTAGATGCACCACTACTCTACAAAAGCTTATACTACCAACTTCATACTCTAGAATCTAAAGTACTACAGGATCCCTTTGCATATTGACATGTTAAAAATAGATGAAAGGTGAAAACAAATAGGATTTACCGGAGTTAAAGCCAAAGGGCTGTGGCTTAAAATCTTAACACCCCCTACTAATGTTGCATGTGTTTTACCACTCACATCTTTTCTCATCATAAAAGGATACTATTTTACCCAACCCCATTTTGCCTTTTCGATTTGATTTATGGAAAGGGAAGGAACTACAAAGGGCAACTGAGGAAGGACAGGAATCCCTGCACATCTTAGTTTCAAGGGTTCGGAAGAGACTCAGGACCTTTCTACACTGCCATATAATTCAGATTATCAAATCAGATAATACATGTTATCTGCTTTAAACTGGATTATATGAGACTACACTGCCAGATAATCCAGTTCAAAGCAGATAATCTGGATTTTATATGGGGCCTCCGGTGGGCTTCGTTCTCCTCTTTTGAGGGATTTCCCCATGTCTGAAGCTCATTGACTTATCCCATCTGAGATACCTAGCTACCTGTAAGATGTAGGCCAACCCTGCTGAAGCGTTCTCCTATTATTCTCCTTTTTCCTTATGTCTGGTTTGCTTCTGTTATCTTTCAAAGTCTGTTCATTATGATCTTATTTTACTCTTATCAGCTAGCCTATTCCTGCTACCTTTGAATTAGACTGGTGTGGAAAGAAAGGGTTTGTGATTGCTTTAGTGCCTGATTACTTAGTTTGAATGCTGAATATCTGGATCAGCGTGTCATTAGATAAACTGATGTCTTCAATTTACTAATGCCCCAGTCACAAAACAAATGGAGAGGGGCAGGTTTTTCCTACATACTTTCCACTCCTCACAAAATCTGTGTCCCATCCAGATTTTTCTATTCAATAACTAGCCACAGGTTTATTGAATTTTTTGAGTTCATTACCTTCCTATCTATCTCTATGGTTACTGAATTGATACAACTGTGTTTACCATAATTTCCAAAACACTGGATGGCTACAACAGAGATAAAAGTAACTTACATCGAGAGTTTTGACTATAGGGCAGAATACACTGGGTGATCTTGGGCAAGCCACATACCTCCAGCCACAGGAAACCCACAATAGGTAGGAAACACTTATAGGCACACAACTAAATCAATATTTAAACTCACAAAATATGTTAATTGGCAATTAAACAAAGAAAATATATTGCAATTGGGAATAGATGATACAAAGGATCGCGATATAATATTATTATAAATCACCAATTATAACGAAATACTATATATGTCCCACAGCTGGACACCACTGTAAAGGATTATATATAATTTCACACCACTGGACACCAGTGTAAAGGATTATATCACAGCCAGTGATGCGAGGCTGGAGGCTTATTGATAATATAGATGGGCATGATGGATCTTCCCCAAAGATTTTCCTTTCTTCTCAAAAATCCCACTCCTGTGCCTCCAATATGGTAGCGAGATGATGTTAGATATGTGTATTGGTAGAGCGAACACTGCTTGTCTTTAAGCTTTCTTGCGGATTAAAGCTGCCACCAACCTAAGTTGCCTTAGGATTTTAAAATGTGTATTTGAGGTAAACTTTTCTCACTCCTGCCAACACTGCTTTTTCCCTTGGCTCCCAAAATAACTGTTTGTTAAGAGGCTTTTCTGTAGTAACCTGATGTTAAAAATGCTGGAATTATCACCAAGGCTTGTTGATGGAAAGATGTACAATGGAGACCTTTTTGAAAGTTAAATAGAAAAAGATTTGTTTATAAAACAGACAACTGCTTCTGAGAGGTACAAAAAGTGTGACTTGTTACAAAAGTACTTCAACTTGATGGTTGCTTGAATAAGTTTTCTTCACTTAGTTACAAACAGAGATAATCAAACAGATTTAGCCGTTGATAACAAAAACCCTCACTCTACTTCAGAGAAATAGTAATGAGTTCTGACTAACCAATCCTAGGTAATCCCCTGGGTTATTAGCTAACTCTTCCCTAGAGTTCTTCCTGTTAACTAACCCAGCCTGGAGAGACAATCTCTTGCGATAACTCCCACAAGAAATCAGGTTGCTGTCTGACCTTTTTCCTGCCAGTTTACAGCACTGTCTGACACAGACACTCTCTCCCTGAAAACCAGTTTCAAAAACACTTTTTCACACACCAGCTTCCAGTTCTCAACTCTCACAGAAGCTGAAATCTTTTCCCTCCTAAGACTTGGCTCCTCCCAACTGCTCTAGCCCATCCTAGGAGACTCCAAACTCCTCACCTTTTCTATCTTTCCTCACTCAAGATGGCTGCTTCCCTGGCTTCCACTCCCAAAATGGAGGACTGCCATACTGTTATCCAGGCTTCCTTTCCAGCCTACTAGGTAAGATTCACTACAAATGAAATCACATAAAATATGCAGCACATTGAATGTGTTGATAGGTGAGTTTACATGTGTTTTACCTACTAGCTAAATATGATAATTACATTTGTTTATGTGTCTTCAAGTCATCTGCCAACACATGGCAGTCTTTTCAATTTAACAGAGTTTTCTTAGGCAATATACCAGCAGTTCTCAACCTGGGGGTCGCGACCCCCAGAGGGGTCGATTGGCCATTTCCGAGGGGTCGCGACAACACCTTCTTTGGCCCCACCCCCTCCACCTCCTTGCAATTGCTACCGGGGCCCCAGAGGCAACGCAGGAGGGCCCAGGCCCGGCGGGAGGCGAATCTGGCGGCAAGGAGGAGGAGGAAGAAGAGGAGACCACGTCCCCCGCAGCAAGGCCTGTACCTCCATTTGGATTAACCACCAGAAGAGAATGGAGAGGAGAAAAGGCCTTTCTGCTGCTTCCCTGCCCTGCGCTCTTCTCACTGCCCCTCGAGGCATCCACTTCTGGTGGAAACCTGGAAGAGCAGCGAGAGGAGCGCGGGGCAGCAGCGGCAGGGAAGCCTGCCTTCGTCCCTCTCCTCTGGCCTCTTCCTCCTCTCTGTTTGGCCTCCCCAAATGGAGGAGGAGGAAGACCCTGGAGGGGAAGCAGGCAGGCCTCCTTGCTGCCTCCCTGCTCCGCGCTCCTCCCTGCCCTGCGCTCCACTTCTGGTGGAAGCCTGGAAAAGCAGCGAGGGGAGAGCGGGGCAGCAGCAGGGAAGCCTGCCTCCCTCCCTCTCCTCTGCCCTATTCTTCCTCCTCCTCCCTCTCCTCTGCCCTCTTCTTCCTCCTCCTCCTTCTCCTCTCCATTTGGCCTCTCCAAACGGAGAAGAGGCGGAGGAAGACCCTGGAGGAGAAGCAGGCAGGCAGGCAGA